CCTTGCCTCTTGACAGTCTGCTCCCACATTAGCCAATTTACTTTTATGCTCCCTGGTTCAGCAGACCAGGGGCAGGTTACAGTGATAACAGGGATGTGGTTCATCCTGACACCTGTGGGTGATCGCACACCGTGTCACACAACCTTGGGGGTAAGCCGCAAATGTCAGCAATGTTTTCTTTTATCCGAATCTGAGTATCTGTTTGGCATTGTAGCCATTGCTACAATGACGTGTCTCTGCTTTGTGAGTGCCACCCAGAGACAGATGATTTTTACTGACTGTGCAATGAGCACAGCAGTGTGATTATCTGAATGCAATTATTTATGCGACTGCTTGTGAATCATGAATAAACAATCAACAAGGTTGCAATCAGTATGCCTTATTATCATCCAAATTCCTAAGCTATGTTTATCCAGAAGATCAAATTTGAGAAACTGCATTCAATCTGGGGCTTCAGATGTCACTCAGAGGTCATTTCCTCTCTGCATCTTAATCTTTGCTTTTATTTATTCCTTCAGTCATGTTAAATATCACATTTACTAAAACAAATACTTTTTTCATAATGTGGCCGGTAACCTGATTGATTTCTACAGTAACCATTTCTCCAGACTTTTATTACTCTGCCTCAGTCTGCACATTTATCCATCACTGCTGACAAAAAACAAGTTTCTTATTTGACAGTCGCTCTATAAGTTGCCAGTTGGCTGTCATTGGTGTGTCCATGCACTAGTTAAAGTTGCAGTAAAATCAGCAGATTATTTATAATGTGCGAACAAAACAGATGGCAAGCTCAGGGGAGCAGGGAGGACAGCAACAGTGTTTGCACGTCCCAGCATTCACGTGGATCCGTTAGACAACGCAGAGCAGTTGCTATCAGTGAGAGTCATAGCCTATCCATTTTTAAAACAACAAAGTGTAAATTTGTTGATAGATTAATTTCACACAAGTTCTACCTTCATTATCATCAGCAGAAACATCCACTGTACCTTGTTATAGTAACCATACGTTATGGCGTTGGGGTGGACTCCAGCCTTCTTCATCTCAAAGAGGACCCTCACTGCCAGGACAGGCTGCCCATACTGTCCACACAGCTGCATCAGAACCCGGTAGCAGACCTGCATGTGCATAAAGGATTGTTTGGGCAGAAATACTACAGACTGAAAAAAAACAGACTGTGCAAGTGTGTTTGGACATCTTGAATCAAAATACTGTAAACAAAATCTGCCACTGTTTTTAAACTGGATGTGATGAGTGAGGAGTGGACGACTGTGTAACTGAGGCTGGCAACTTTGTAATCACACAATCGAGCATTCAAGGATATCTTTTGTTTTTATACTAATGGTAAATAAATGGTAAATGGCCTGTATGTGTATAGCGCTTTTCTAGTCCGTAAGGACCCCAAAGCGCTTTACACAACCAGTCATCCACCCATTCACACACACATTCACACACTGGTGATGACAAGCTACAGTGGGGCAAAAAAGTATTTAGTCAGCCACCGATTGTGCAAGTTCCCCCACTTAAAATGATGACAGAGGTCAGTAATTTGCACCAGAGGTA